GATCTAACCTGTGGAGTTCCCCAGGGAACTTGGGTTCACTTATTAGTGACCATGACCTTCTTAAACATCCTGTCTGCGATATCACCTCGGTGGAAGCTGACGTTAAATAAAGCTATTTCACACACTCTTAAACATTTTTACGCTGACGACTCTCAAATATATTCAAGCCTACACCAATGTCAGCTGCTTCAACCAAATCCCAACTTTCAAAGTGTTATGAACAAATTAAATTGTGGATGACAGCAAATAAACGAAAACTTAATGAGAAAACTGAAGCTTTAATTCTTGGTCCTGAATCTAGACATGATCTTTGCGGTATAACCTATGTCCATGTTGGCAACCTCTCTATTTCAATTTCAAATAGCATAAGAAATCTTGGAGTGATGTTTGATATCAACCTTAATATGGAAACCCATATTAACCATATACCTAAAGTGTGCCATCTCATTCTACGGAACATTGGGTGTCCTGGTGTCCTCGTTGATTCTTTCCAGAATAGATTAATGCAATAGTTTACTGGCTGGTGCTCCTACTTCTCTTGATTTGTGACTCCAAAAGATCCAGAACACAGCAGCTAGAATAATATCTCTGGTTCCTTGTTACAGTCACATAACACCAATTCTCAAAGAACTCCATTTTCTTCCTGTTTGTTACATGTACAGAATCAAATTTAAAATTCTGTGTTATACATTTCGATGTTTAAATGGCATTGCCCCAAAATACCTGAATGATCTCTTACAATCATATATTCCTGCAATGACCTTAAGATCTGTAGATCTGTACCTCACAAAGACAGTTGTTAACCTAAGTTCAACTAATCTCACCGATGACCAAATCACTCTATCAAGGCTCTACACAGCATTTTGAACTTACTTGTGCAAACATAAGTAAATTTTCAAAACGTGGTGTAGCGTCAGTAGCATGACTATCATCATTTTTCCCCGACTGAGACTCGCTGCGAGACGAAGTTACTTTACTAGTAAAGTAAGACGATATAGGTTTGATTCGTCTGCTAGCCATGCTGTCAGCTGTCTCGTAAACTTCCAATAAATACAGCGCATGCGCAATGAGAATTTCCTCACAGAGGACAATGTGATTGACCCAATTTCAAACCAGGAAGTAAACAAGAGTGACAGTCGACCGGGATCATTGCCGATTACCTTATCGTTACAGAGAAAAGTTCAGATAGCTATAGTGTTAATTGGGGACTTCAAGATATATGTTCACTCACCAGAAACCTAGCATTTATAAATATCTGGTCGCCATTGTCGCATTGTAGAGCCTTGTCTATTATCCAAAGGCCTAAAATTCATTCCTGTTTCTAGACCGAAGAATCATGACGATTACATCACGAATATAGAAAAAGGGTTACGTCAACTAGCACCAGGTGGCAAGGTGGATTATCTCAGGCATCAGATCTCGAATATACTTTTAAAAACCAAACCTCAAACCAATAACCTATCCAAATCCCAGCAGCTAGCACTAAAAGAATTGAAAGCAGACTCCAATATTACCATCATCCCTGCTGAAAAGGTAAAGCTACTGTGATTATGGACACCAATGACTATGTGGATACTGTGAACAACCTACTTCAAGACACCAAAACCTACCAAAGAATCAGGAAAGATCCCACAGCCACCCATGAAACCAAGCTGCGAAAATTTCTCACATCGCTTATTGGTTTGTTCCCATGATTCAGTATATTACAATACAGCAAAATTCTTAACCCGTCATTTGGCACCACTAGGAAAATCAGCAGAGTCCTTCATTGCCGACTCCAGTGACTTTTGCCATAAACTGGCATCCGTCCCATCAACCGGCACCATTCTTTCCTATGATGTAGTAGACCTGTTCACTAATATCCCCACAGCTCAGACACTCCAAATACTTAAAAAGAAAATCAATGAATTAGAGACCCCACTGGCCACCAACCTACATGTAACCACTGATAATATCATTCAACTTTTACGTCTCTGTATAACTGCCACTTACTTTAGATGGGGTGATGAATATTATCAACAAACACATGGCCTGCCTATGGGTAACCCACTTTCGCCACTACCGTCCGAAATATTCATGACCAGGTTTGAAGCTGATGCATTACAGACTTCCCCCATCAAACCCCTTTCTTGGTATCATAAAGTCGATGATGTATTTGTGGTCCTCAATCAAAACGACAACCCAGATACGCTACTCCAACATCTGAACAGTCGACAAACGAGGATAAAATTCACAATGGAAACAGAAACGGATGACAGTCTCCCATTTCTTGATGTCTTAGTGACTAAATCTGACAACAAATTCTCCACTGCTGTTTATAGGAAACCAACTCACACTGATCAATACATTCACTATAATTCAAATCATTCATATCAAATAAAGAAATCCATCATCACAGCTCTAACCAGACGCGCCACCAAGATATGTGATGAAGAAAGTTTAATCGAGGAATTAAAAATTTAAGGAACGTCTTCATAAATTTTAACAATTACCCCACCCAACTAGTCAATGACATCATCACCACCACCATAGAGAACCAACACAAGCCAAGAACGCCAAATACTGACCACTCCGGCATCAGAATAACCATCCCGTTTCATGGCAAAATCTCTTACCAGATCAAAAGGTTGATGAAACAAGAAGTGGGCATAGACGTTACCTTCTCTAGTGGCAGAACCATACAGAATTTACTGCAAGCTAATGGTAGATCCACACAAACCACCCCCCCACAGCCCAAAGGATGTATCTACGAGATAACATGCTCCTGCTCCGAAAAGTATGTAGGGGAAACGAAGTGCCCACTTGATGTACGAATAAAAGAGCACAAGTCACTAGCTTCCACCAATCCCTAAGCCGTAGCAGAGCACATTATTAACAACAAACATCATACAATCTTGTGGGACCAAACAAGATCCCTTGCAGTACATCATCACCAGAAGAAAACCAGGAAACTTCTTGAGTCTTGAGGCCATCAATATAAAACGCATCAAGCCCAAGTTAAACCGTGATGTCGGACTATTTATACCAAGGGCTTATGACCAACTTATACATTGATTCTACTACTTTATTTCTATTTCAGCGCTTATCAGGTTTTCACAGACTAATTACACATCATACATATCTTAACTTTCAGCACTTACCCAACTTTACACTCTGAGGATATATTTCCCATTATTGGGTTCAGTTTATTAAAGGAATATATTTACTGTTTCCCTCATCCAGATTTAAGTCTAATAATACCTTCTTCTCTCATAATTTTCTAGCTTTCAGAATTAACACAATCCAGTGCTTGTCCAGTTTCACAGTCTAGTTATAAACTTTACGTATCTTGGTTGTAGTTTTACAGTCAAAAATACAGTTCACAATTATTGACTTTTAATACATAGAAATAATATATTTACGGTTTCTTTCTTCCAGGTTTATACTCCAATAATAGGTTTTATCCTTCAGGACTTCCAGTTTATTGGTTCCCATACTTTTGTCTCTTTTTAAGTGCTTATCCAGTTTTCACAGTCTAATTATACATTCTACATATTTTCGTTTTCAGTACTTAACCAGTTTTTTTATAGCCTGGAGATATGTTTCACTATCCTTTATTTTCAGTATATTGAATCAATATAATTACAGCTTCCCCCGTCCATTTTTTACAGTCTAATAACAAGCTTTAAATGTCTTCCATGATTTTCTGCTCATTGAATTAATATACAGTATTTTATATTTTTATAATTGTATTTTTAATTTTTCAATTTATTATTATTTTCTTTGATTATTGATGTATAATGATTAATTTTTGAATATTGGTCAGGAAATTAAGGCTTAAGACCCTTATCTGTTTATCTGTTTATATACCACTGCCTATCTGAATGGCATAGTTAATAAAATAGTGAATTGAAAAATAAACCAAACAATATTCTGAAGTCGCGGTCACTGACAATCTATTTATTATTTAATAGATGTATAGATAATATTACATGTACATGCTTGGCTATTTATAGACCAATACAGGCTAACCCTGACCTTCCAGGTGCATCATCATTTTAAAAATTGTCATTTGATGTTAACATTGGCTAACTAGAACTTAATAAGATAAAGATCTTAGTCTGGCTGTGTTGGACACTATTATGTTGTTGTCTAATGACCACATCCATGTTGTAGTGATAGCCATTTTTATTATACACTAAATGTTGTTACATTAAATATAAAATCTTAACTTTTTACATTAAATTAATCTTTAAATTGTCCATCGATTATTAAAGATACATTATGGGAGATTAGATAAAGAGCTAGATAATGTAAAGGGTATTTGCTGAAAATTTCAGTCAAATTGATCCACTCTGAACCAAGAATTTAACGATTGAATTTTCGACCTAGCCTTGATCATCATTACTAAAATCGGTACGATAAAAAACATAGTCTCGATTATCCATTTCATGATTTAATCATGAACGAAAGTTGTGCAGCAAATTGGATCCTAATCCAGTAAATATCGCAGGCCTGCGTTGACATCGAGAGTTGATTATGGTATGCAAAGTTATATATAATTAATGTCTAATTAATAATTTAGATAACATTTCATCAGGCCTAAAGAAAGACCTGCAATAGGCAGATTTTAGCTCTTGCATAATGTATGTTGCATTTGGAAGCCATCAAATCTACTAAGTGTTAGGCTTGATTTAATATAGATTAGTTTGAATTGAAGTCGGAAACCATGAATCCATGAATACCAGTAAATATATGTTATTAGTGTTTTGTAGTGGGTTAATGATATAAACACGCTGAACTATAATTACAGATAAAGACCCATCATGAAGATGACTGACACGACATCCTGTCATTATTACCACTATTTTTAACCGATATTCACTATTACACACAAGTTGATTATCATGTCATTATATATAATCAGTGTTGGAGGTTCAAACCCACAGTTGTACATGACAGGCCAAACCTGATGGGCTACCCCTCTTTCTCTCAATTTGATTATGGTATATTAAGCTTACCATTTACAGAAGCTGGTTTACAGAGTTGGAGTTATTATTTTAGTAGTAACTGATCTGTATTTTCACACAATAATCCATCATTCTATCTCAGTAACTAGGATAAGGTCAAATCTCTTTTTATTATTGTACTGTGCTGCAATTATCACTTAATATTTGTTTCAGTTCTGAAAAAAAAAAACAAAAGCTATTTCATAATTCCCCTAGTATATAATGTATACTAAACACAGAAATTTGTTATTCTCATGACAGAAGCAATAACTAACCATAAACTCAGCTCAAGTATGAATTTCAACTGGGTTTATGAATATGGCTAGTCAATCCCACAGAGTTGTAACAAAAAATCTAAACCAGCAGTTGTTAGGCAAGATATGCCCACATTTTGCAAGAGATGGATAGAGAACAAGCTAAAAATAAAAGAGATTTTTCGTACAATCAGGGGCCATAATCCAGAAACTTATGGTCTGAAATGCATGTATATCAAAATGAACCAAGATCTTTGGGTTATAAAACTGCATTTCAAATGTGGGTGTATAAAAATTCTGACATATGTAGATACAAAATTTGTCCAAATGAAAATCAATCAGCTTCCTCATCCCATGACCTTAAACACTGTGAATAAATCTAAAGACAATCCATTATTTATTGACTTTAGCCTCTGGAATGACCAAAAGCAAATGTGGGTGAACGGGTATGATCATATTTTATGATGGGTGTATAAAAAAACAAACCCGCGGCTATGTAGAGTGTTTATAAGAATTGTGAACGGACAGAAAAGGCGATCCCACACAAAATGTGAGTGTATATAATGACAAACGGTGAAAGTTTGGGATTTTAAAACAGTCTTATGTAAACTACATACTACAATAGTCTAACAAAATCCAGGATCTACCCAATGAGAAATTGCAATGTCTTTGGCAATAATGATTAAATAATAGCATAAATGAAAAGAAATGTAATGGCGTGTAACAACCTACTTTTCTGCTCCAACACTAAATGAAAACGTGCATACGCCATACGATGTACTATGAGGGAAATTTTGCCTGGACAGCAGTCAGCAGCGTTTCCGCCAACATTTCATCAACTTCCATGTGACAACTAAGGGGATATCAGGCTGAAAAATCCTTAGGCTAGGCTAGAGGTTTGTCAACACCAGGATCAACCCTTGTGACTAGTGAGTCATTGCTTTATTCACTGAGCCAGGGATTAATATACTATTAGACAGTGGAGAGATGTATATGACCAATGTCTAGGTCATATGTTATTTTATTATTTTTTAATTCTGTTTTTAATTTTGGATCTATATTTTAATATTCATTAATGCTTGGTTAGTCATTAGAGACAGACAGCAATTAATATTATGATAGGCTGGCAACTAAAGTGGTTCATCTGTTAAAGGAGCTAAATCGCTAATATTTGGGACCTAGAAATTGACACAAATGGGTCGCAACGCATATAATAATGTAACATGAATGTATGTAACCTGATTTACATTCAATCGTTTCTGTTTTTACTTTAATTTCAAATCAGTTATTCTCTAGTGTCTGGTTATTACAGTCTACACCGGTAGTATTTATTGCGCATGCTCTCCAGATAAAAATATGGCATCACCGTTTGACATGACTGTTCTTCGAGTCTCTTGTTACAAATGGCCCTGAAACGCATTCTGGTACATGATTCGTGTACCAATGGTAAAATGTTTAATTTGTCTTAAATATTGGATATCAAAAGCCCATCTTTTCCCGGGAAGACAACAACATCAATATTGATTTAAATTGACAAATAATTTGTGTTTTCAATGTCGAAGTCTGTGGATGGTATTGAGTTAATAATAATAATAATAATTTTATTTAAGAAGAGTAAATGATTAGGCTGCAGAAGCCTTCTACCATCCTGCCCTTCAATTAGAAAGGGAGCTATTGTGTCCCAAAAAGTGATGGATGAACCCATTTTAATAGTCCCCTGCTTTCTTCGAAAGGCGGGGGACAATAAAAGAGAAGGATGAACAGGAGTATAAAATAATCAGGATGAAATTATAATTCAAAAGATGACAGCACCAAAAAAGAGAGATATAATATCACATAATAAAACATATAACTTACAATAGCAAAAGGCATAAAAATGTGAAACAAAGAAAAATTACTGATACATCAGTTTTATATCATAGAGGGTACCTGTATTATTCTTTGACAGTGAGATATTTAAAAAGTTGATTCTTGAAAGAATTTAAGTTAGTGGTCAGTTTTAAGTAAGATGGTAAAGAATTCCATAGGTTTGAGCCTTTAAAACGGATGCTGTTTTTTACAATATCAAGCTTTGCTCACTATTAATGTTGGTTTAGGGAGTTTCATAGAAAGACAACAGATTGAACAGATAATCGGTACGGTACATTGTTTTGATAATATTTTGGAAACAAAGTTACATAAATTTTAGGCATGACGGTTTACTTTTGCTAAAAGTTTTAAGGTATTTATTGTTGGTGACAGTTAAGCGGTATGATCGACATTAAGCAGTCATTAAGCCATGATTTGTCGTCTAGAAAGACATTGAAGACATTTGGAGTCAGAGGAGTCCCAGATTGGAGAACAGTAATCAAAATGTGTCTGAATATGAGCATTATAAAAAAGAATGTGGTAGGAGAGAGGGAGATATCATTTAATCTTACGGAGAAGGAAAAGTTTCTGATTTAATTTTTTTCAGAGATATATTGAATATGGTCTTTCCAAGTTAAATTTAACTATTGTTTTAAATGCCATAAGACTTAATCCTTCGTTTATGCCAACACCTTTTATAGTATCTAATTTATATAAAGATAGGTTGCCAGGCAACGAAACACACGCCCACAGCAGCCAAATCGTTCGGGCAGTCAAGTCAACAAGAGTTGTCGCATATTTTTACTTTCTTTCGGTAATGAAATATTTATAATACACTAATATCTGATTAGGAGAAACAACTCATTAAGTAATTTACAGAAAATCATTAGAATTTGTTTGGTTTTTATAAAGTTCTGCCCCATGCTAAAGTTTAGTATACGAAACATTAAATATCATGGATTTAGCTGTTAAAGTTATCAAAATTCATTGAAAATCAATATACTTGTTTGTCTCAAGACCTTAAACACTGTGTATAAATTTAAAGTCAATCGGATATGAACTTTGGCCTCTAGAGCACCCACAAGATATTTTGAAGCAATCAGGGGCCGCAACTCTGGCAGTAATTATCGGAAATCGCTGAAAATCACAAGGCTTCTTCGTCTCATGACCTTAAACACTGTGTATAAATTTAAAGTCAACTGGATATTAACTTTGGCCTCTAGACCATCCACAAGATATGTTGAAGTGATCAAGGGCCATAACTCTGGCGGTAATTATCGGAAATCGCTGAAAATCAATAGGCTTCTTCGTCTCATGACCTGAAACACTGTGTATAAATTTAAAGTCAATCGGATATTAACTTTAGCCTCTAGAGCGTCCACAAGCAATTGTGGACACTGGACCGACAGACGGACGACAATATACGACCACATTTCAATGTGGGCGTATAAAAAGACAAATGTATGTATGATTCATTAGCTGGAGAGATCAGCTTAGGGATCCTATATACTAGTTGGAAGTCTGATTCATAGGAAATTATAAGTTGTTTAATTATTGTGGTTATTTGCTCCTAAAAGAAAGTGTTGAAAATTCATTCCAAGAATCTGTATTTATTTCCGATACTTAGAGAAGACACTTGTTCAAGTTTGAACAATTGTGCCCCAAAAGTGTGACGGACAGACAGACGCTCAAACCCATTTAAATAGTCAAAAGGCAGAGACACTGAGTAATAATGCTTCCCATCAAACAGATTTAAACATATTTCTTAAATGGATATAATAATGTGCCTACTATAAACAGATTATACACATTTTATTAAAAAACTTAAATGGAAAATAGTATGCATCAAACAGATCAAAATTTTTCTTTAATGTCTGACAGAGTGTAAAAGAGATCTATAGACCAACACAACTGTTTACATGAGAGAAGATGAAGCAAGACATTGATTGAATAGATGGATTGTGTCTCATGGACGTTTAGATCTTTATTTCCTTACGAGTTAGACATACAAGTATTAATGTATTGTTGGTCTAACTACTTCTTCACCGTCTAATTAAACCAAAGTGATTGGCTAAAACCATTACCGCTAATAATAATAATAATGCTTTATTACACAACTGCATGCTATATACACGAGTATATGGTAAAGCATACAATACAAAGTACAATACAATAATAAACATCAAGAACATAGAATCAGGTTTACAGAGGTTTCTAAAAGTATATTAAATTACCGGTATATTACTAATGCTTGTAAAGTATATATTAGGCCTTACATAGCAAATGGTATTTAATGTCTGTTCTTAAACATTTCATATATACGAATGTTGCAACATCTTGTATACATTTATCATCGTTCATTATACATGTATGCATTATTGAATCCTTCAAACTAGTTTTAATGTGATGACATAAAAACTTTTTCCGACTTCTAAGATTTTCATTGGCTAAATTTGGGGTCAGGTCAGTTAATTAAACACAAATTTCCTGAAGATATGAACTGGGGTTTAATGTCCTACTTTCCTGCACTATCTAGGCTAAGAAAGACTGGCATACGCCATACCGTGTGCCACGAGGGAAATTTTGCTTGGATATTGATGCTACAGCTTATCTTATTTCAAAATGTCAAGGGTTCTTATACAAGCATGCTAACGTGTACAGTGTATACACAGGTCACAATTCTATGGAATACAATTACTGCTTTTTACTGAGCGACGTTTCGACTAGGCTTCTCTAGTCATTATCAAGCAATGATAAGATGTGAAAATATAACAAGACAATATATACATATATATACACCAAAATACTTAGTTAATGCTGACCAACCAGAGATACCCCTTCTAATTACATGTACTATACCGGCATCCCTGCTTCGCATTAAGAAAGTAAGATTGTTACATACATGTACGTATTTACCTTCTGTTCTTCGTATCTGATCGATGAGTTTGGAGATGTGTCAGTCAAGGTGTCTTATATATTCACATCTTATCATTGCTTGATGATGACTAGAGAAGCTTAGTCGAAACGTCGCTCAGTAATAAGCAGTAATTGTATTCCATAGAATTGTGAGCTGTATATTCCGGTTCAATGACTAAATACCTGTGAAACAATTTAGTGTACAGTGTACACGGAAACTTGGTTGTTTTTTTTTTGTCCCAACAGAATGACTAGATGCTATCCTGAACCACTGGAGAAGGGAACCACACAGGAAAATTTTGGGAAACTTTCTTGGCCAAAATGGTTAGTGAGCCAGCACCTTACTCAATGTAGCCACTACGTCTTCCTAAAGACATAAATGACACAAAACAAATTAGACTTGGTAATGAACTCTGTCAAATTTACAGGCTTTAGGCAAAAGACCAACAAAGTTCTAACTTCAAACTTAAATCTATTTCCGTCAACAATTTAATTCTATGTTTGGAATCATTGTCACATTATGCTTATTTAGTGTTGTTTTTGACATGATTAAAAGAATGGAATGAGGTTTAATGTCTCTTCAACACATACTCCTGTCATTTAGAAACAAACATGGTAATTCTTATTTCTATGTTTACATAAGCAATGTAACAGAATTTTGCCCAAACAGTGGCAATTTCCACCTACACTCTTTTTGATTTATAATGTCAAGGGTCCATTTACGTGCTCGCCAATGTGTACAAAAGAGGACCCCAGTTCTTCATATCATCTGAATGACTAGGCACATTTTCTGTATCAGCCTTGAATATTCCACCCCGGACAAGTGGGGGCATGACTAAAAATCCCAATGGTTTTTCTTGACCCATGCTGGGATTTGAGGCTTAAAGGCAAGTTAGTTATGTGGTAATGGTCATCTGATGCTGTGATAAACAGTCAGTGTGTATATAATTACTAGTACTATAAAGTTGTTATTTAACAAGCATAAATATCATTGTAGATTGTATTCCACACCTACAACATGTACTATTGTCACTAACAAAGTGTTCATTTTCATTCATACAAACCACTGTAAACCCATTTCTATGGCGGTATATTAGATTCAAAATTCTAACATGCTATCGTCTAATTTCTAACTTCTATTATGTAATATTTAACTTCTCTTCATGTAATTTCTAACTTCTATTCTTGTTATTTTTAAATTAAGACAATGTATAATCCAACTTCTTTATTTGTTCAGTGTAAATTTTAATTCTGTTTCATCTTGTTTCTATTATTAAGACGAAAAATGTCTACTTTGTTGTCATGTTACATGTTAATCCTGAACATCGATTTTTAAATTAAGACAATGTATAATCCAACTTCTTTATTTGTTCAGTGTAAATTTTAATTCTGTTTCATCTTATTTCTATTATTAAGACAAAAAATGTCTACTTTGTTGTCGTTTTACATGTTAATCCTGAACATCGATCAAATTTTAGAATTTTGATACTTCTACCTAGCAACCATCATTATGACGTTGTTTGGTGTCGCCACCGTGTGCTCAATTTGGCGATTGAGCACCTGATCGGGACCATTATGTTGATACAAACGACTTGCTCTTCGTCAGGTTGAATGGTTTGGCGCAGTGTTAAAATTGACTTAACTGTAAAAACAAAAAAACAAAAAATCAAATAAAATTTTCCAAATCATGTACTTGTCTTAAAAAAAATGAATGAACAAATGCTTTTTAGCTTATATTTGAAATAGTATTTGCCAACCATATCACGTTCGATGTTGTTTATAATTTCAGCATTTATTCCCCGGTTGTACGTGACTAGGAGTAGGGTCGCTTGTCCAACCTCGTGGGTATTCTCCGGGTCCTCCCTTTTTTTCCCACAGCTAGACCCCTACGCGCAAGCGAATTATTGAAATAAAATTGAACCATATGTTTGTCCCGAAATGACCTAGTTTGTGTAGAGTGGTCGTTAAACCACATTTCTCCCTCTCTCTCTAAATTTCAGCACTCCGGCCAACCATCCGCCAGATGATGAGTGAGTCGTTTATATCAGCAAAATGGCCCCGACCTGGTGCGCAATCACCAAAGTGGCGACACCAAACGACTTCATAATGATGGTTGCTAGGCAGAAGTGTAAAATTTTTAAATTTGTTATGTTCATGCTAAACGTGTAAAGCATCAATGAAGAAGACGTTTTTCGTCTAAATAATAGAAATAAAATGAAATAGAATTTAAATTTACACTGAACAAATAAAGAAGTTGGATTATACATTGTCTTAATTTAAAAGGTATGTGAACTGAAGTTAGAAATTACATGAATAGAAGTTAAAAATTACATGAACAGAAGTTAGAAATTAGACGATAGCACGCTAGAATTTTGAATCCAATATACTGCCATACATTTCCACTGAAAATTGAAGAAAAAAGCCAGCCGAATGACTTACATTTCTACAGAACACAACAATAAAACGTTAATTGCAGTAATTAGGCCAGTAAATGGGTAATGCATTAAACCAAACACAAAAATTCTGAAGTTAGATTGGATTCCGATACAATGTCACCCAAAGAAAATTGTTGAACCATTTTGTTCAGAATTTACAGTTCAAGAACAGTTTAACTGTTACATAATCTTGCCAGATAAAATGTTGGGATCCAGACTGACTTCTAGTTTTTGTCCTCAATGGAATTACTGTTAAAATATCCAAAGACTGTCAGCTTTGGTTCCCCTGATAAACATTATGTACACTAATTTGTCTGTGTATCTAATAATGATATGTAACACATTTTATCTATCCCACATACCATGATATCTATTCCAATTTATAAATCCTTTCTACACCTACATGTACATGGACATGTACATATATTTGTTGAAATCTGATGAAATTAATATATTAATGCGAAATGTAAAACAAGTTACAAATATTACAAAGTCAAGTTCAGTCTCAATAATTCTTAAAATATTTCTCCACAAATAGTAATGCACAAAATAAAGCTGACCAGATTGTTACTTATTCAAAACCGTCCTGTAATATAATCCCTGTCCTACAAAAATTCAGTGCCGCATTAAGGTCAAGACTGTGGTCCTCACATTTTGTTTCTTTTCTGAATCAGTCGTTTACCAGTGGGAATTTATTGAACTCTATAAACCCAGTAGAAATCTTAGATCACAAGATCATAACTACTTTTAATACCTAATACTTCCTTAGGTTGAAATTTTTGTTCATATGCATGGTGTATCTTGATTGTTGACGTGACATGACGTAACACGATACTATGTGATGACGTGACGTGGTAACACAATTTGATATTTTTATGATGATATTTACTTTAAATAATTATTTTTACCATGTTGTAAATAAATGAGGCACTTCATAGAAGATCGTAGAAACAATTACTCTAACCCAATGCTCACATCGAAATAATTCAATGAAACAAGTACAGCTTCGCAGTTCCAGTTATTACTATCAGTAATTTAAGAAATAAAATTCAATTCTTAAAATATCAGTTTATATATATATATATATATATATATATATATATATATATATATATTAAAATGGCCTGACGATTTGTTTGATAACGATGGAAGTACGAGCCAAAATTTTAATTTTTAGTGTTTTTTCTCTAATACTTGAATTTTACTTATATATATATATATAACCATAGAGAAATTAAATCACACTGTTACTATGTAAATATGTATAAATTGTTGTATTTTGTCCATCTGCACAATTTCACAAACGTTATTTGTGTCAAGCTCCTAGACGAACGAAAAGTATTTTAGTACCGGTATTTTAAAATGTTATTAAACCAGAGTTGAAACCAGCTTGTATCGGGGTACCTTTAATCTTTTACTGTGGAACAAAGTCGTGCAACATTAGCAGTTATGCTAATACTTTCGGATATATGTATATCTGTGCTTTCTGCAGGTCTTTCTTTAGGCCTGAAATATTTTCTAAATCATTAATTAGACATTAATTAACTTATCCAGGCCATGATCAACTCTCGATGGCATCGGATTTCCTTGATTTTAAATAGATTAGAACAGTTCAGCCATATTTTGATTTAAGCTAAAAATGGAGGAGCGAACAACCAGGGCGGTGGTTGAAATTATTGCACACGTCTTGTCAAACCTTCAAAGGCTAATATCTTCGTTCGGAATAGAGTAATTTGAATGAAATTTTCACATTATTCATGTTACATTATCTATTTTCGAACTATTATAGCAAGAATGGCTAACTCTTTATCTAAATCTAACATAATGTATCTTTAATGTCCTTATTATAATTTGATTGTTTCAAATAATTCTTTCAACAATTTGATTTACCGGTACGAATGTCGTTTTTTTTGTCAACTATTCTCAATTATCATTATTAGCCTACATGTACATTTTAACTGATTGAATAATTTTTAATAATAAAAAAATATATATCAGATATATCAGTAAAAATAAGGGCTGGTAAATCATGAAAGAGCCTTTAACTCCTTCAATAATCTTGATAAAAAAAATCTAATTTAGAAGAATGTTTGATACATGTACATGTATGTGCCAGTAAATTCTATAATAGAATGTTCTACTGATATCTTTACGACAATTTAACTCTTTCAATACAAAAAACCCCACAAAATATGCCACATGTTACTATATTAATTTCGTTCAAGTGAAAAACAGTATAAATCTAATAAAAAAAATATAGTTCTACATACCAGAGTGTTAAAATAGAAGTAAACATGAATGCCGGATTTTGTTGTCTAATCGTATATTTTCAAAAATCCTCATTAAGCCCACAACTTGACTATATTGTTTTACATACAAAAATATTTTAGCACTGAATAAGGACTGTTTAACCATTCTATTGTAATATAATTGCATCAACTCCTTGAATGTTCACTAATATCCTTATAATGAGCTGAACAATACCCTGGCCAGCAAGCACTAGATCAAGGAATGTCACCAATCAATCAATCAATCAATCAAATGTGTCTATTATTCACCATCACCTACCTACCTTATTATAACAAGTAAACCTCGAGACATTCTACCTATTCACACTGTATACAATCTATAGACTTATTTGCAACACTTGGCCCATAATGCACTACTAACTCTCACTCTTGTTATTATCATTGATTGTTATCACCATGACAACCAGAGAGCATCCATCCTCATCAGTTTAACCTCTAACTCATCAGTGAATGAACAAGACTAGGCAAGTTGTTTGTTAAAGCTGTAATAGTAGACAAAAAATATTCTTACTACAAATAGATAAAATTTGTCACCTGTGCCATGCATGAGACAGGATATGCTAACAGCATCTAATATCACTTTTCATTTAAAGAGCACATCAAATGAGAATATAAAATTTGTATATGCTTAAATAAAACCAGTGTTTATTATACAATTGAAGCAATTTAATTCAAATACAAAGATTTTGTAAATCTACAAACTTCACAGGAATTCAACACTGAGCATGTGGACTATCAACGTTAGGTTGCGAGAATGTCAGTCTGTTACCATGACTTTGAAAAGCTGTGAATGAAATTTGTTTAAAAGTATGTCATACTATATAAATATGCCAAATATTTAGCACCATCGTGTATTTCTGAGTTTGAAGCGAACAACAGACTGATAAAAACCTATTCCAAATGTCAGTCTATTACTCACGGAATTGCCCAAATTGTGACTTCCAGAGGGCCCACAACCTAAAAATGCGATTTTTCGAACAATCAGGGGCCACAATCCAGGATTATCAAAAGGAACCAAGATCTTTGTGATATAAACATAAATTTAAAGTTTCATCAAAATTAGATCAAAATTTTGACCTGTAGAGGGTCACAATCTTGATATATCATACTTTTATCATACTTTTATCATATGATAAAGACCTGCAATAGGCAGATTTAGCTCTAGCATAATGCTGATTTAATAGATTTGATAAATAGTAAATTTATTCCATTGTGTCCTGTACATTTCCAGTTCAATTAATAAATGAAAGAGCTCAGTAATTAGATTTAGACAAGGTAGAATAGAAACAAGGCCTTGGTTAGAATTATTGCACAGTTAAATTTGTCCCTTGATTAAGATAAACAAACATACAAGTTAATATAAAGTTCCGTTTTACATTCAGAAACAAACTTAAGCCTACTACATGTGCACATTTTAAATCTTAAAGATACATTATGGGAAATTAGATAACGAGTTGGCAGTTTGCACTTTAATAGTTAAAAACTAGATAATGTAAAGGCAATTTGCTGAAAATTTCAGTCAAATTGATCCACTATGAACCTAGAAATAAGCAATCCAAAGTTCCACATAGCCTCGGTCATCATAGTACTAAAGTCTGTACGACAAAAATCATAGTCTCGATTATCCATTTAATCGTTAAATCGAGAAGGAAAGTTATGCAGCAAATCGGATCATAATCCAACAATTATCACAGGCTAGCGTTGACATCGAGAGTTGATTATGGTCTAGATATGTTAATTAATGTCTAATTAATAGAAAGACCTACAATAGGCAGATTTAACTCTTGCATAATGTATGTTTAATGGGACGAAACCTCTTTGATTATAGATGGGCAAGCTCTACACTAACATTTTTGTTTTGAAAGAATAAGTGGGAGTCGATTTTATTTACTAATTTTAGTATAATTCTTGAGTTACTGTGTAGCTAATATAACTTCGCAGCTGTAAGATTTGCAATTTGGCTTTTAAAATTCTGAATTAATAGATAGACTGTCATCCTGTAAAAAATTCCTTATTTGACTAAAACAACCACCTGTAGCGAGTTTCTGAATTCTATAAATATATAAATTGACAATCAAATAAATGCAAAAGAGTTGCAACACAGCTTCTTTTGTTTTTTTTCTGTTTGAAACACATAATATGTTGGAAGTTATAACAGCGGCTGGGTGTAATTTTGATAACATCACAAGTTAGCAAAGAGCTACTGTAAACTAAGTAATTTTGAGCAACAGATAACATTGGTAGTTATAACTTATATAGCCATGACATGTAAACCAGGGAATTCTGAGCAAACTGAATGCAACATTACAAGGCTACTTTTCAGCACCAACTTGGAATGAAGAAGAGCATATGCCATACAGTGCAGTAGTTTTGCTCGGACAGCAGTGCTAGGGCCTACTCTTATATTGAATTACAACTGTCAAAGGTTCTTTTATGTACACGGCAACATGTACACAGGACCTCGTTTTTTCCCCATCTGAACAACTAAACACTGTCCTTGCCAGGCTCTCCATCTTGCACCACTTAAAAGGGGACCCCATGGTGGAAAATCCCGGACTGAACTCCAGCGCCTTTCTGACTAAACCACAGCAGCTCTCAGACAGCAGTGGATACCAGTAGTATCAAAGTGTCATGGCTAATGTCAATCAGGAGATGTTTAATTAAGTGGTTTATCTGTTTATTCTGTTATTGTTTATTTGAGTAATTATGTTAATGCATTTGGGTATAAGGATGTACAGTATATGTTTCAATGTCGGCACCTGTCCATTATTTAATAGCTATAATGTAAGCCACACAAAGTGCAGAAATATGTTCACACAGCAGCCAAACAGCTTATCCGAAAGGAAAACATGAATGCTGTCCAAATTTGACAAGGATCTTTTCTGCATTCAAGAAATCTGATCTCTATCATGTTCACAGGCTTTATAAAAAAAAAAAATAGGTTTCTTCCTCTCATGACCACAGTGCTTCATACCGAATTTGAATAAAATCTGTTAAAAGCTGTATAGCCGTTAACGTGGTTACAAGGTTTTCGTCAGGGGGCGCCGAGTGGGGAGGATAACTTCAGAATGAAAGCTCGCAGACGACTAAATATCGAAAAGGTTTGTCCTATCATAATCCCAATACTCTGTACGACACCCGACGTCACGTCACCTACAAGCTAAACCTGTCAGATATAGAACAGATATGAAATCAAGGACTTGAGAAGTGTAACAAAATGAAATTTAGGTCTGTATTTCAATCAGATTTGTTTTAGAGTGGTTAGTGAGGAACTATTTCCCCATAATATCATTTCCAATCAGAGAATTTGCAATTTGCATGAAGCTATTTTTTTGTATTAGCCTATTGTGGTTTTATTCTAGCTGCCATAAACACATCAACTAATTAATAGTTTTTCTTACATTTCTCATTTTATTATTTGGGTTTTTTCTGGTTTCATGCTATTCAAACACAGCTTGAAATATAACATTTGTCATTCACAGATTTATTATTTATATTCCCTTTATAACAAAAATAACATCCTATAATCTAAATATAAAGCTACATGTATAATCATATCCCAGTCAAGATATAACAAGCCAGATCATCAGTCACACGTATCTCATTAGGTAACTATCACATCAAAGTATAAGAAAAACTTCCATGATAACTGGATAACTTTTGTCTCTAGATATCACAAGTTTTTTTAATGAATCAAGAGCAATAACTACAACAGTAATTATCAGTAATTGTTGACAATCAAGCTTAACCTCTAAGACAGACAGATTGATCGACAGACAAGACAGAGTGATTATATGACCCGTTTCAATAAAAATAGCAAATTATATTTGGGATACTAGGTGAATTCTGTTTTATTTCATACTGAACATGACTAAACAGAAAGAATCTTAAATCTTAACTACTTTTTGACCACAACTATATCTTGTGACATCATTTTACATGAACGTTGTACAATTCAGTTTTGATTATTTAGTAATTGGTTTTGTTTTTACACATCTAAATTAAACAGCTTACAATACATGGAAATTCTCTGTATTATTATTATTTTATCAAATCTATACAACTTGTTAGATATAATGATGTCACAGGATATTTGATATTTATCTTACTTCATAAGAGATCCCCATCATACTATGGTATAACCAAAACAATATTTATTATGCTAACTCTTTTAATGTTTTTGTACTGTTTACCTTGCCAACAATAAATGTATTGTGAAACACCTCAGTTAACATACTCATGTCTTAAAACTCAAAGTGAGAGAGAGAGTGTAATAGTGTAATATCTTTATTAAATGTCTACCAAAACTCTGAACTAGACAGCAATTAAAATCCACATCAAATATTGATCTACTTAAATATAGTAACATCACTTTCTATATTTATACACATGCTGTCAAACCTGATATCATCCTCAGTTCATGATGAAAATTCTTCATCTATTCAATTTGAAATCAATTGCCAACCATGGTGAACTAAACTACTCAAAGACAAGGGTGTGATCAAAGAATATTCTTTAATGGCAACATGGTTCCAAACAGCTCACAAACTTTGTGAAACAGGGTTTAAAGATTAACAATAAATTCTCAAGGTAACCAATTAGTCAAATTAAAGAACTTAAAGGGCACATAAGAAGGACAACATTACTTTTCAGTACATATAGCCAATGGTTACTATATCCACTTTACGGCAAGTTTACGCCAATCTGATTAAAATTAATTCGGCTATTCTTCACTCAAAGTCGCAAAATGAGATCTCCCGTAAAAACGACTTTGCCAATTATCGAAAACACCCTTAAACCTCTAAGACGCCAGTGATGTCACGTCACAGTGACCGAATGCATATAATCGGAATGTTTATTCCTTAATTACCTATATCCAAACGGCGTGTGTATTCATTAATGCCTGACTGATTCCTTAATCCCCTAATTAAATAAAACAATTGACTACGGAATAATTTGTTTTGTAATTTATTTTAATTTAAGATCCAATTTAACATTTGCTTCACAATTTCCTGCCCTCTCTTCCCACGACAGCAATTTTAAAACTGTGTTTTAAAGTGACTTTTTGATAAGAGTCCCTCTACCATTGTGTACAGTCCAAACGATTCGAGATACATTTCTGTCAGAAGAGTATTGTGGTTTTAATTTCCCTGAATAATTCGATGGATAAACGGTTGTGATTAGATTATCTTTTAATGTCTAAGATTGAGTAACATCGTTCAACTTCTTTATAATAAAGGTATTTTACAATTACATTGACAGTTTAATCACTCACCAAACGGCATCAGGAACTGCACATAAAAAAAATATGATCACATGTATATGATAATATTCATGTCCATGAATCCCATGCAATTTTCACGCCAAAATTTAACCTCAGTTACTACGCCCGTAGTATGCATGGAACCGTACCTGGTAATAAGATTCCCGGCATTGATTGGCTGAGAAATGAGGGCGATCTATTGTTATGCATAGTCATTGG